AGCACAAGATTTATTATTTTTCGATGTAAGCACCTTGTATATGATCAGTTGTAAATAAAAATTTCATAAACAAGCCTTGCTTTTCATATAAAATACCAGAAACAATACACGTGCATTTTCAACTTATCTCATAGTGTATGTTTGATTATTATGTGATTAATGATGTTGCTATATACATTTTTGGGGTTTAATTCTTTTCATTCTAGTTTAGTGTTCACTTCTCTTCAGCAGTTCCACCAAAAGATCAAAGTGAGGGTCACGTACAAGTAACGCTTTGCTTCAAGATCTTGTCTGTCAACACAATTTGTGTTTAAAGTATGAAATGAAGGATACAGTTAAACAAACATTCCTGTTCGCTTTAAGATACTCGTTATTAGATACTATATAACTCCACATTAGTTATAGTATTGGTTGAAGTACCTAACAACCACTTAACTTACAAAACAAGCTCTTTTCTTTGATAGTCACTTGTCTTTCTCAAAATATATGAATAGTAGTTTAGGAATAACCCTAGTATATAATGCTTTTTTTTCTTTTATGGTACAAGTTTCACGGTCTTACACAGAATATACAATCACTCTCCATGCCATTAAGGTTCATAATTCAATGGCTCATTTTAAACATATTTATAAGTTTGTTTGTTTTTTAACTTTAGCTAAATTCAACTCTGTGTTTCCTAATAATGCTGTTGTTATAAGAAGTGATAACTTTGTATACTTGATTTATAAATAAAAAAATGTTGTTCATAATAATATAGCTGATGAAACAGTTAACTTGAAAGAAAGAACTTTTAATTTACATGCTCTTGTTCATGCCTTTTAAATCTGTTATAGCTTTAAGGCCTGATGTCAACCAAAGTTATGTTAAAACTGTTTAACTCTTTAAGGCCTAAAGTCAACAAAAGTCATGTTTAGTTTGAATATAGGCCAGGTGGATAGGGGCGCCGGACTCGCGTTCTGCGGGTCGCGGGTTCGAATCCCTTCACATCAAACATGCTCGCCCTTTCAGCCTTGGGGGCGTTATAATGTGACGGTCAATCCCACTATTCGTTGGTAAAAGAGTAGCCCAAGAGTTGGCGGTGGGTGGTGATGACTAGCTGCCTTCCCTCTAGCTTTAAACTGCTAAATTAGGGACGGCTAGCGCAAATAGCCCTGGTGTAGCTTTGCGCGAAATTCATAACAAACAAACGTACAGTTTGAATATATATATTTTTAAATTCTGTAGAAATTTTAGAATCCTCTGCAAACAGCCTAATTGTCTTCAGATTTTATCTACGTAAGTAAGCTTTGTGTGTTATAGATTATTTAAAGAGATCGGGTTGCTGAGAAGGGCCTAACTTGGCTACAGAAAAACTCTGGCTGTAACAGTATTTGTCATTCCAGTGTATTTATTTTGATCATTCATTTGTTTTCATGTTATGGGAATCCCCTGACGACCAACAAGTGTTGTAAATTCAACTGGTCAGCGTTTTATTTTTTTAATTTACTGTTCTTGTGTAAAAACAGCTCAACTTTGCAATGTGATATTTGTTAAATTCAACCATACTGCCTTCATCAGTCTTTGAAAAGTAGAAACTGTTCAGTAGCTTAACCGTAACTTCGAGGAATATAGACTTTAGATAAACAAACTGGGACACCAAATTTGGTTATTTAACAAATCAATGTAAAATTAGAAACTGCAAATATAAAAGTATTTCTGTCAAAAAAAAAAGTTGCGGATGATTTGTTATTTTATTTTCTAAAGATCCCCTGAACAGAAATCGATAAACTTGTTAACTGTTTTTGAAGCCAGAATGAGTTAAACATCAGTATAGAAAGAAGTTAAACGTACGTCTGAACTTATACTGGTGATGAATATAAATGTATGTTTAAAGAAACAATTATCCATGTCTTAAGAAGTTACTTCAACTCTGACAAAAGTTTATTATAAAGGGTGTCCGAAAAGACAAGAACCACAGGCACTTCAATGAATTTTATAGAATGTGTTCCACGTGCTGTTCTTATAATTCGAAACGAGTTTGGATTAACAGCATGATTAACTCGTCCTTCTCATGCTTTGACAGCGCCATAGTCAGTCAGATATCCGAAATAAAGAAAAGCTGCTAATCACTTATGGTTCCAGACACTGTAGTTAAACTATTTAGCCTTAAATTGCTAAATAAACTTAAGTTATGAAAAGTGCCTAAGGTAAACAATACGATGCTCTCTTATAAGGTATTCATGTAATATTAATTGTTAGGTAGTGTGTGATGTTAATCTTATATTTATTCATTTTTTTTTGTCATATTTTTGGGGCGGCCCAGTGGTTAGCGCATCAGACTGAGGAGTTGAGGTTCACTGGTTCGTGTCCCGTTATCGCTACCAACAAGAACAAAAATGCGCTGTGTACTTTGGAACCGTGGGTGCGTTATCACAGTGACAGCTACATCCCATTATTAGGCTTGACAAGAGTTGGCAGTGGGTGATGTTGACTGGCTGCCTTCACTCTAGTCTGTCAAAAGATATTATTAACTTTGAACACACACTAGAAACGATGAATTTTATTCTGCGAGTTGATATCCCATTTATATAATCTTATCACCAACTTCATATTATTTCAGTATTTTAGTACTACTGATTATGTAATAAGGTGTTAAAACTTTTCTGATGGCATGACAAACTGTAAATTTTACACTTGGTCTCATGTTAGAATTCTTAAACTTTTATTATATTTCGGAAGGCAACACTTTTAAATAAATTTGCATTTATTTTATACGAAAACGAAAATGGTATATTGAAAAAACAACAACAATAATTTACTCACTGCTTTAAAAAATGTGGACACATTTAAAAAACGGACATATTTTTTTTTCTGGTGAAAGATACATATTTTTGTATACAGCTCTTGTGAATATTCATTTTCCTCTACTATTCTCCACGTGACTTTGATTTTATGCCATTAGAAATTACTTGAAGATACAGTATGTCGTTACGTATAACTGTTATTTCTTGCTTTGTTGAAATATATTTATAAAATGGTAAACTTGACTCTAACTTTACATGATACAATTTCCACAATCATATGGTATTAATTGTTATCACCATTTTTAGTCACTATGAGGGTTCTAATATAATCAGAAAAATACCACCATCTGGAAATCGATTTCACTTTATTTTTTTAAAGCGACACTTTACCACCTTTTATAGCACAAAGTTGCAAAAATGTCACAAACTGTTCAACAATATAAAAATTAAGAAGCTTTTATATTTGTGATTCTAATTTTACCAAAAAAAAACAAAAAACAACAAGATTCTCCGAAAGACTTCACCGAACAGTTTCATTCTGCTCATTTGAAAAATAATAGAACTTGAAAATAAAGTCAGTTTAAAACATTTTATGATTTTATAGAAAATGCAGTCCTAATTTGAAAGTTTGATTGATAAAAAATGATTAAGGGATAAATGTTAGTCATTTTACAGCTTTTTCTTTTCATGTGACCAGTGTATTAATTTTCATCCATACTAAAACTAACTGTATGGTATTCTCAGGTGAAACTGGTTTCCGCACGAACATTAAATATGTCTGCTGTATAATAACGGGAAGCTCGATCAGGATGGATTTATCTAAGCGACTGAGTTTAGAGCTAAAACAATAAGCAGACTAGACACGTGATGTATAGTATAAAACGAGTTTTATCATTGTCTCAAAGTAAAAAACACAGATGGTCGCTTTCTACAAGACCTATGAATCAATCAACAGTTGTTGTCTCTTAAGATGTTTTTCCATCGATCGACTTACTTTTAAAACCAAGTAGAACTGTTCTAACCCAAAGCTTCTTACTTAGTTTAAATATGTTAGATTCGTCAATAAATAATGACTAACGCTACCGCGTGACTGGCTGTTCTCACACAACATAGTGAAGACTGTAACCTCGAGATATCATCTACTTGGCCAGCGAAGGACATTGTTGTTGCTGACCTGTTTCTGTAGTGGTTGAGGTTGGAGCAGATATTATCTACTAGAATCAGATTACATGATGAATGTTGAAAACTTCTTTATTAAAATAAAATTTATTTTAGAAGAAAGCCACTTTGGGCTATCTGCTGTACCCATTGCGGGGAATCAACCCCCGGATTTTAGCGTTGTAAGTCCGTAAACTTACCGCTGTCCCATCGGAGAACAAAAGTAATTACACCAAGTGCAGTAATGAACACTTGACTGAACGCTTGTAAATCGAGCACCTAGCGATCAAGACCAGCTTATAAGAAGACAGAAAAGTAAGGAATGCCTTCATACACAACTGCACGTTTGATCGAAATGAAAAATAAGTTAAATAAATAAATATAAGTAATTGTGCAATTAAGTGCTAGTATATGTTTTACAATTCAATGTCAGTTTGCAGAAGTTCTGGTAAGTGTGCTGTGTTAGGGAAAACTGTTCAAAATGTTTTTTTTTTACTGCGATCTAAAATAGAATAAACATCTAAGTTCATATACAATGACAGAGAATCCTCATTACAGTGGATGAAGTATTTCGTAATACAAAATTACAAAATAAGTATATATGCACTAACTTTGTACTATATATTATTTATTTTTCGAAATCCGTGGTGGGCAGAGCACAGATAGCCCATTGTGTAGCTTTGTGCTTAATTACAAACAAACAAACAAATTCCTCGAATGGATTATGACGCTGGAAAAAAGAACCGTAAATAGGTAATAGTACCACAAGGACAGAACACGAACTTCGATCGTTGAATATGAAGTAAAATAAGTAAACTTTGCTGTTATCTGGAATGACTGATTTTTGTTTGGAATGAACCTATTTTTTTAGACACTTATATAAAAAGCAAAGTGCCCTATGAGCCAGGCTTATCACATGTAGATGTCGCTTGATTTTGAAATTTCGCACTAAATAAAAGGTTTGAGTGCATTTTTATCAGATATTTTATTTTTTATTGATGTGATATGTGATATGAACAAGTATACGTAGGTGGAGTGACTATAAATGCTATTTAAATAGAATAGAGGTGATGATAAAATATTGGAATCAATAACAACGAGATTAGTATAGCTTTAGGAGATAGATGGTAAAATAAATAATTTTCCTGAGTTTTTGTAGCTATCGATATGTCTGCAGGATCTGTGAAAAGTTGTGGATTCTTTTTTGTTTTTCTTGGTAAGCCTATCGTTTGTTTTGCGACAAGATACGCAAGGGTTAGGCCTACTTTATTCGTCCATAATTTTGAACCGATAAACTAGAACAGGAGGTAGATCGTTTTAGGCTTCGCGGGCCTGAGGGGGGTCGTGGTAAAATTAAGTAGGGATGCATACATGATCAGATTGACTTTTGCTCGATTACGTTTTATTTTTTGTTTTTATAATATAAAAAAATATATTATTATTTTAATAAACTGTTGGCGAGCCGGAGAAACCGAAATCTCCATAGTTTGAAGACGTGTACCAGAGGAAAGGCAGTTAGTCAATAATATTCACCACCAACTATTGGGCTACTCTAATCGAATAGAGAGATTTGACCGTTACTCTTATAACGTACTCGCATCACTTAAGTGTGGATCCTGGACAGTCCAATACGCTAACCACTAGGCTACGCCCGATCCACTAAGGTCTTCAAAATGTGAACAACAATATTATGCTTCCATAGTTCTTTTTGTGTATAGAATCGTAACATATGTTATACATATAGAGAGTTTCAGCTACTCGGATAGAACATTATTTTTACTTTCAAAATATAATTAAAAATGTAACTGAAGATCTTTGGTTTATATTTACGTATTATAACAGTGAAATTCAACACCATAAGCAGCTTTCCGAGTCTTATAACTTGCACACCATAGCCTGGTGGTTAGAGGGCTTGGGTCACGGGTTCGAATCTACGTTCTATCAAACGTGGGGTCGTTATAATGTAACGGTCATTCCATATATTCGCTGGTAAAAGAGTAGTCCAAGAATTGACGGTAAAGAACAAAACGAACTTACAGATCACCACTACAGTAAGTCTAATTTTGCTTTGTTTTGATTTTCTCTTGTTCAGGATTAATAATGAGTGATGGATTTTCTCAAAATTAGTTCGACCCAAGTGACGAATCAAATAACAAAATTCGACATTTTTGGTGTTGAGACTAAAAAAAAAAAAATGCGTACTTGGATATCTGTTCTATTACTATTTTATTAACTTCAAACAAGTTTTGGATTATAGTTGTGTACAATGAGTAATACCTTTTTTTCTTTCTAGTGCTGTGTCATGTCTTGACGGTAGAGGCCGCACCTATGACAGACATAACAACGGACCCATGCCCATGTCGTTGCTGTTCGGTCAAGTCTCGTAGCGACTGTAGCCGGTATTACCTGTGTGTGGACAATGTCAGATTTTCCAAGAAGTGCAACAATGGTCTCGTTTTTAATGAAGATATCCAGAACTGTGATTATAAAGAGAATGTTATCTGCCCTAATAAACCATCCGTCCCTGAGAACTTCACGTGCCCCTCGATAGCAGGGCTCTTCCCTTACGAGCCGGACTGCTCCTGGTATATACAATGTTCTCACAGAATTCCTTACGTCATGCCATGCCCACCAAATCTCTTGTTTAACCGAGAGGAAAAGGTGTGTGACTATAAAGAAAACACGGATTGTATGGGAAGTAAGTAAATCTGCAAAATATAAAGTTTTATTTTGCTTAAAAAAAATTAATTTCCCATTAATCAATTACACTCTCAGGGCTGGCGCTAACGAGAGTGGTGGTGTTGGTGGTGGGACTAGACACTCTGAAATGTAGTTCCCCCAAGCTAATGCCGTACATTAATATAATTTTATATTTGGCTCTATCACATGTCTCATTTTCCCCCGCCACCCTTAAGAAATGTTGGGACCAGGGCTAAATATATTCTAATAAGTACTAACTTTATATGTAATATGGGACAATGTAATTAGCGCTTGCTGTAAATATATAAATAAACTCTTAAGGTGGCTCAATGTGTTCAAATTCGATAAACGTTTTCCAATTCAAATCATGTAGACTGTATGTATGATTTAAAGTGATTGTTTTATAGTTTTAGTTATGGAAATTGTCCGGTTTTCTTTGTTGTTATTTATCTGTTCTCATTTTCATGTAAGTGTTTCGAATAAAAGCTCATTAAGCCAGGTTAAGCGTTTTCTTTCGCATTATGCATTTTAGACTGTCATATGCAATTAGGCCCGACATGGCCAGGTGGTTAGGGCGCTTGACTTGCAATCTGTGTGTTGCGGGTTCGAATCCCTGTCACACCAAACATGCTCGCCCTTTCAGCCGTGGGGGCATTATAATGTGACGGTCAATCCCACTGTTCGTTGGTAATAGAGTAGTCCAAGAGTTGGCGGTGGGTGGTGATAACTAGCTTCCTTCCCTCTAGTCTTAAACTGCTAAATTAGGGACGGCTAGCGCAGATAGCCCTTGTGTAGCTTTGCGCGAAATTCACAACAAACAAAACCCATGCAGTAATATCAAGTGGAAACTCTTACAGTTTCAAAAATGTGGAAAATTCATTTAAATTAAGAGATTGCTAAACAAACACAAATTCTGTTGAATTTTCGATTCCAAATTGACAGTTTAAAACAATATCGAGTGTAAATATGTATGTAGTTTAATATTCGTCATATATTATTCTACATTGAACAGCAAGCAGAACGTCTTTCTAAATGTAGGAAAGGCGTTAATAAATTCCATTTTATTCCAAAATCCATAGGAATCCATTTACACAGATGGTAAGACATTGTACCATAACGGTATTGTGGAAAATATTTCAAGTGACTATAATCAGTGGTAAGTGTGCAGACTAAAAATTTGGTTTTTATAACCGTGGTCGACGGGGCACAGAAGGTTGTTTGTAATTAAGCACAAAGCTACACAATGGGCTATCTGTGCTCTTCTCACCACTGGTATCGAAACCCGGTTTCTAGCGTTGTAAATTCGCAGACATACCGCTGTGCCACTGGGGGAGGGAGCACAGATAGTCCGTTGTGTATCTTAGCGCTTAACAACAAGCAAACACCAAAAGTGACCCAAATATGCAATTTGGGTTTATTTTTGGGCACCTCGTTAGTTTATCTATCACATCAGCGAGTAACTTATAGCCTTTGATTTTTTATTCTTCTTCTCCAGGAGTACAAGTGACCAATATTTTTCTTTATTCTAAACGTTATACAACTCGTTCACCAGCTTTGTTATTTTTTCAAGAAAATTTCCAAAATTGTAGTACCCCAGTCTTTATCCAGCATAAACAAAAACTGGTGCAAGTATTCGTTTTCTTAGTGTTATTAATCACAGATATTTTCCTAAGGACTATTTTTAACTGCAAATTATATTTTAACTTCCTCATGTTTTAATAGATGGCGCCTTATTACACTTCTTATATATAGGCCTTATATATGTATATAGAACAAATGATCCAAAAATGAAGAATATTCTAGTAAATACATTTATTTATGAACTCTTGAATAGAATTTTATAATCTTAAATATGTTATTTTATATTTATCCACTTGAACTTACTTATATAGGTGAATTTTCGACTGCACAAATATTTTTACAAGTGTGCAATTCGTGATCAACTGCGCACTAAGGAAAAATCCTGTATTAATGTGAAGAAAAAGTACACACTTTTGCAAAGGATTGGTGGTCAAAAAAAATATAAGATGTGCTTTAAAATTAACCTGTGTTTCGTAATTATTCGGTACCAAGGAAAGCAACTCCAAAAAAAGTAGGAACCCGGCATGGCCAGGTGGTTAGGGCACTTGACTCGCAATTTGAGGGTCGCGGGTTCGAATCTCCGTCCCACCAAACATGCTCGCCCTTTCAGCCGTGGGGGCGTTATAAAGTGACGGTCAATCCCACTATTCGTTGGTAAAAGAGTAGTCCAAGAGTCGACGGTGAGTGGTGATGACTAGCTGGCTTCCCTCTAGTCTTACACTGCTAAATTAGGGACGGCTAGCGCAGGTAGCCCTCGTGTAGCTTTGCGCGAAATTCAAAAGAAATAGTTACTTATTTTTAGTTTTAAATAATTTTATCATTTTTTGAAAGCATGCCACATTAGCAATGAATGGGAAATAACATCGGCTAATAAAAAAAAATCTACCCTCCTTTCTATCGTCCAGTTATTCTCGTTCACATAGTTCATTTCGCTCAGAATAAAAGTGTTATTCTGCGTCTCTGCTGATTTCTCACACATAATATATTATCTTTAAGGTTTGTTTGTTTTAGAACAAAGCCATATTGGGTTATCTGGCTTTGGAACCGAAATTCAGATTTTAGCGATGTAAGTCCGTAAACTTAACGCTGTCTTACTGGGGGACTATCTTTAAGATAGCACACTTTCCAATTCTATGTGATCTGTTCGTTATTGTGTGTAATATTAGGAACATCCTGATTGTGTACTTTTTAACCTTCATCACATGTTTGAAAAAAAAGATTTACAAAATTACTTCGTTATCTAAATGACCACAATTCACCTGTATACTCTAATCGATAAACAAAAACACACAGTTAACTTGCCTTTTAACATGTCCAGGTTAACACGCGCTGCTGATGGCACACTAAGCACCGATGTACGTAGTAAGTCTGCTCATTACATACAAGTACTAAGACTGATACCTCCCATCATCTTTTAAGAAAGGCTTAATATACGCACTGAATACAGGAGGAGTTCGAATTTTCTCAAATATACTTTCGTTCAGAAAACAAGTCACTCCTCAGTTAAACCCAATATCTAATAATATGACCAGAAATACTTTGTAAGAAATTACAACTAAACACAAATAAAACATAATCGATTCTTCGCGCACAATGCCAACTTACAGTTAGAACACTGGCGATATGTTATCTTTTCAGATGAGTCCTGTTCCTGACTTGTTAAAGCTGATGGTGGGATTCATGTTCGTCATTTTTCTGGGAACGGGTGAGGATTATTGTCTTTTCCACAGGTAATACACATGTTTGAGCAGCTATTCATCATGGTAGAAAAATTAATCTTCATATCCTCCAGGAAAACTCAATGGCGCCTTCTACAGGCATCATTTGGAGACGATATATCTGCCATATGCTAGTACAAGGTTTGGCAATAACTTTGTATTCCTGAATGACAATGTCACTGCCCACAGTGCACATATTGTACAGGATTATCTCGACCAGGAGGACGTTACAAGATTGTCATGGCCAGCAAAGTATCCAGCTTGTAATCACACTGAGAACTGTTTGGAAGAACTAACTAGGCAACTTGCTAACCACGACCCTAAGCCAGCTACGTATCTGAGTTGCAGCACCTTCTAGTGACAAGTTCGAATGAAATCACGGTGGGATACATCAATAACCTTATCGACAGCATGCCATGTCACCTTACAGAGGTTATTAGAGTACGAGGAAAACCACTCAAATACTGAATGTTTAATATGAACTGATATAAGGCTACAGACGCTATTTGTAATAAATTGATGTTATGTTTTGTCATTATATATATGTTTTAATAAGATTTTGATGTGATAGGTGAAATGCTGAATT